GTGGGCAGGATTTCCTGAAGGGATTAGGCTCCAGCTCATTTGTGGAGGTGACTCTGGGATGATCATGGGTTACTTGTGGGAAGGGGGGTGGGAGGAGGACATGATGTGAGGATGTCTAGAGTCATCTGTGGGGAAATGGTATTTAGGGATGGGGAGGTTCCCTACCTCAGACCCTAATTGCGGGGGAAGAGGCATAGGGGTTATTTTGGTGCATACACATTTCGCCCGCCTCTGGTACCCTGGGATGGAGAACCACAACTGGCTGACTGGTGGCCGCTCCCCAACTTTTCACTCTGAGGAAGTTTTAACCGCCTCCTTTCACTTGAGAGAGGCCCTGGGGTCTTTCCAAGTGGGTTGAGAAGAGGTTGGGTCAGGATTTGTTGGCACGAAGCCTGTGCAGCAATAATCTCATGCTTCCTGGAGGGAGGCAGGAAGGGTGGCTCCTACCTTTGAAGGGGAAGGAGGCTTTGGGGTTTCTGCTGCAGCTTCTTCCTTCTTCGGGGGCCCTGGTGAGCAGCCAAAGTGAAGGCATGATTTGTGACATGGTGCATCCGTGCTCCTGTCCTGATGTTCCCAAGATTTAATCTGATTGTCAGATCAGTGGGCAGCAGGGAGTTTCTCCTTGATCAGACGGACACCAGCGGTTGGTGTTTGCTGCCTTCCACTTTGGTGTGGAGCACTAACAATTTTTGATGGTCACATGGGACGTTCGTGCAAACAACAGCCTACTACTGCCAGGGCTGGGAGAGAGCCTTATGTTCTTCTCTTTCTGTGGCAATTTATGTTTGTGGTATTTGGCCTTTGCTACAGCTCTGAAGTGGGGTGTAAGGTGCTGGGAAGGACTTTGTGGCCGATGGCATGAAGAACAGATGTTTTGTGGGTTCTTCTGGACTGAAGTGGCTGTGTCCCATTCGCTGGCACTTGCAGAGGACTACATATGCTGACTGTCCAGCTTCTGTAACCCTCCTTTACAGTACTGACTGATCTGATGGTTCATGGATTTGATTCTAGTTTGATTGTTGCATCGGTTTATTTATTTTTCAAGCCAATATTATTAACGGCCACTTAACTGAGGGGAGAGGGATAGGCATGTTTGAGTTTAGTTTTATTTTTGTGGTTACTGAAATGTTGAAGTCTGAGGCCAAGGCATACCTTCTTCCGCAAGTAATATGTGTCCAGCACCTGGGACAAGCATCAAATGCTCAACCTAAAACAAGAAAACCGCTTTTCTGAAGTTAACCTTTGGTTCTGAGGCCTAGAGCCATGAACAGTCACCCTTTCTACCACTCCCCCCCACCTCCCAATAGTGGGAGTGTAAAATATGAACTCCTGGGCAAATGATAATAGATGACACCAAATGAATTCTCCCCTCCAAGACATGATTTAATACCTGAGGCTGTCACATAAGACTTTTCTTCTGGGACTGTGATGTAAGTGTAAGGTGAAGTACTATCCACAGTGACTGTGTGTATTCCTATCAGCTGTATTAGCTGGGGACATACAGGTGCGGTTCAAAACGTCTGTAACCGTAGACTGATGTTACCTATAGTTAGGGCAGGAAAAAAGCAGCGTCGACCTCTTGATCTCTCTGTAGGTTAAAACAATGCTGCCGATAGCTGAGGGCCTGTCCTGTTACCTCCACTTGTCACTGTCTCTGCTGCTTGCTGCTAAAGGATCATATGAAGATCCAGAGAGAGACAGGAAAAAATAGAAGGAACTTTATAAGGAAAGAGGATGAAATGCCCATAACCTGACGTAGTCACTGACTCTGGAAGAAGCAGCTAGTATATAAAATCAGTCCAGAAAGACAAACTGAGCGATGATGCTGCGCTGTCACGGATGTTTTTCTTCCTTCCCAGGAGCTGGAGATCTTTGGACAAACTCCGGAGTGACAGAGGCCAGTGAAACTGCCAGTGGGTGGTGCATGGGCATCTCTAATGCCTGCAGACACAGGCTGCGCACTGCCGGTGCCCATTGCATGTATTCTTTTTATACCACAGCAGAGGGAGCGTTGGCAAAGCATCTCTGAGGAGCAACCTTTTGTACAGCTGCTCCCTGTTTAGTGCAACTCAAACGCAAATAATCGCCGTAATATGGATTGTGTGATTAACTGGTTCGGTCTCCAGCGACCCTGCTGCAAGTGACTCTGCCATCGCCTGGTTATTGCACCTTGCAGAGCTGCGATTTCTCACAGTGAAGGAAGCACCTGAAATACCTGAGGACATTTTGCATCTGTTCACCTGCCTACTTCTCTCAGCAGCTCATTACGTTCTGGCCTTTTTTCCATGCCTGTTAGGAGGCCCGATCAAGACACTGCATTTCCTTGTGCTCTCCAGGCTCCGCACCGAGCGACTGCGTTGGAAATCAGAGAGTGAGCTATGTGTTAAGAAATACTCTGGCAGTAAAATGTTTAAAATTACTCTTTGTTTCCCTGACTTTTCTCCTAATTTAGATTATGCAAATCCAGATTCCCTCCAGACTCGCCCGCAAAATGGAATTCTAAGAAAATACTGTTTTGTTTCATTTGTTTTTTAATGTCCACATTTCTCACATTTCCTGTTCCAATTTCAGACTGGGCCTGAAGCTCCTCTGCTAACTTTACTCGGGCTGTTCTTTTGGGGATCTGAGAGAGGGGAGAAAAATAAACAAAGTGGAGGGAATGTGTTTCTTGGATTTCCCCCCTTTGCAGCCGCAGGTTCTTTTAGGCAAGCCGGTAAAGAGTTGCTGGCATTCCTTTGTTTTCTGGTCAAATGGAGGGATTAGATGAAAGGTATTACTAACATGGGTCAAGATATTAAAAAAGGGATGCCTAAATTTAGGCTCCTAAATTTGTATTTTGAGCCCCTAAATAAGGGCTTGATCTTGTGCCCTTTGAAGTCAATGCCAAAGCTTCCACTGAATTCAATCTGCAAGATGAAGTCCTAAATTATGGTCAGGTTCTTAAAAGTTCTCAGCGTCTCACAGCTCCAAGTAAGTCATCACTCAGCCTGTTTGCAAATCACACCGCTTACTTAAGAGCCTAAACACGGAGTTTGTGCTTTTAGGTATTCCATATTTAAAATCCTGCCTGTTGATTCTGTCTTACTTTCAATTTTAGGAGCCATTGACATGAGAACGATAATAAGGCCAGTAAAGAAGTGTAGCCTGGACATGCATTTATTTGCTTTTTTGGTGAACAGTACTTAGCACCAACACAGTAGATTCTGTAGGAACGGTGGTATCTCCCGTTCTTGTATTTATGACGGTGTAACTTTAACATACAAAGCACACGAGTGTCCTTGCTTGTGCCAGAATTCATGAACGTACATGACCATTTGCACAAATTTCTCATGTGCTACTTGGCAGGTAGGAAGATCACAGTATGCAGACGAAAGATAAGATGACATGAGCAATCCTGTTGTAATTTTAGAAGCTGGTTTCTGTACATTATTTACAGTACATCGTAGCTTTAAGGGGATAAGGCTCCCCCGTGCCACTGGTGGATTTCCTCTTTTTTTTTGTTAGATTTCTGTGTGGGACTTTCAACAGTGCAGCAGCCTTGGGGATTTCATCCATCCGGAGGAATGTTAAAATCACAGGTTATTTGCAATAAAGGTACAGTCATTCATAAAAAGCTCACCTAGCACGGTGAGGAGGAGGCACCTTGAATCTTCCATCAAATAAAGAAAAAAAGTAGAGAGTGAGTTATCTGCTCTCTGCTGATCTGAAGCCCAGAGGCCTGGCATGAGGAGGGAGCTGCTCACAGTGAACTGTGACAGAGTCGGAAATCGTTCCTGCCTCTGGGAACTTTCATTTGGCTTTACCTTCAGTTAATGAAATAGCCCCTCTTTTTCCCTGGAGGCCTGAGAGTCTCCCTATCTCTTGGAGGACATTTTTGGCATTTTGAATATGGGAAACTGAAATTATTTCGGATGGATATTTGCTTCTTCAGAAAAACTTTTTGCAACAATTAGTAAAAAAAAAGAAAAAAAGAGAGAAAGAGAAGAAAAAGGGATTATTTTGCAATACCCACCACTCCTCTGTAGAAACGTGATCCCTGGGGGGAAGAGGGTTATATTCTCCTCCAAGCTTTTAAACAGGCTTGACTTCTCCCCTCCAGCCCCTGGGTACAGGCGGTGTGGGGTACGACCCTGCAGCCGGGGGAACGGAGGAGCTGGATGAGCACTGCAGCGGCTCCTTCCTCGGATAGGCCTGTCACTCATCTCTCAGCCTTCGTCATGATCAGTGCGACCCCAGCGACATCTCCGAAGACCGCATGAGGGGGTGACACAAAGTGTTTAAAAAATAAACAAAGGGAAGAACGGGTCTAAGATGTACCAAGGGCAACGATTTTTTTGTTTTGTTTTGTTTTGTGTGTTTCCCTCAGCCAGCAGGTGCCTCTATAGAGCCAACGCTCTGCCTGTATCATTAGGAGTCTGTGGCAATGCACTGAAATACCTGCTTTCTAATGATAATATGGCCTTTTCTTTCTTTGGTGTCTTTCCAGCTCCTCTTCCTTCAGCCTGTAGTGAGCCCCAGAAATTTGCCCAGTCTGGACTTCTACTCTATCCACCACCCGAGGTCCTTGGACCATGGTGGCAGGAGATAGATTTATATATGTTGAGAGTCGCACATCGTTACAGTATCCCATATGAGGAAATCATGTGAGTGAAGGAGCCTAGCTGGGGAACGCCTGTGGTAACCCCAATGAGACGAAGCTGCCTTTTTGCCCTTTGAATAGCTTCCCAGAAAGTGGGATGGGGTTTGTCTGACAAAACCGTTGCCCCTTCAGTGTAACGCCCTCCCGTACACTCTGGCACCCGATGAGTGGGTGCAAGCAGGCCCCTTGAGCTAACCAGGGTTTAGGCTGGTTAAGAGAAATAGAAGCTAAGTAAGGGTGAGTCGCCCCTCTGCTTTAGCACGGAGGCGCTAAAAAATCACTGTCTCCGAAAAGCGGAGGCTTTGAGGGGGGAGGGGGAGCTGTAATCGCGGTTGGTCCCCTCCTGCCCCCTCCCCCCAAAATGGTCCTGCTGGACTTTGGAGCGATTCCCACGGACAAGGTGAATTTTGACCTGAAGGTGCATTTTGTCGCCGGGGCCAAGCGGATGGGGTGAGGAGCGGCTTGTCGGGGCGGCGTGA